AGCTCGCGATATCACACATGAATTGCCGAACTATAGTTATTTCAATATTACTTCTTAGGGACCGGTAATAAAGCAATAAAAAACGCTTTTATTGTGACATCCGTTTTGAATTTTTAATATAAAGTGTGGGAATTTCTTAGACTTTAAAATTTATAAGTTTGATATCTTAAACTAAATTTCATCTCATTAAATGTCATCACTGCAATAGCCATAACCTTATCAATAAAGAAATATGGAAAAACATAAAATTAAAAAAAAATGATCTTTCTTATGTTATGATTATACAAGTGATGCTTGCATGAATATTAATTATATTTCAAGTATATAATGTTGTTATCCTAATGACCTATTAAATTTCGAGTGTTTCCGCAAACTAATAAAGGCGACTTTTTACGGCACAAAAATAGGCTTTTATATACATATGCATCTATATATTCAGTGGTATTCAAATCTCAATGAGTCGAGCACTCTTAGTTAACCGCTATAAACAAAATCTCCTTCCATATACTCATTATTATAAGTTAATTCTTAAAAAACTGGCATAACGTAGAACAAAGAAAAACTGCCAGAACATAGCTCTTTGACAAGAAAAAATGGTCATTTTCAGTTTGCCGAACAAATAAAACTTCTGCAGGAAGACAGAAGACTCGCTCGTCTATAAGACTATATAATTTAGGCTGAGAAATAGGACCTGCAATCTACAAAACATGGCGTTCGAGACGAGTACATGTGTATTGATAGTCTAGCTATATATATCCGAAATCACTTGAATAGGTGATATTGAAACGAGTATATAAAATGAATTAAATGACGATATTAAAAAGGAAATGCCTTCGCTAACACAACATCGTTTGAGGACCTGTAAAGCATTTTCATTCTTTGTTCTAACGACTCATGACTCGAACGAGTTCAAGTGTCAAATTCAGAAAATGTATTGTAGTTAATTGTGAACAAATTGAAATTAATTTTAGTCGATTTTTAAAGGCTTATTTAATTTGGTGCTAGATTTTTTTAAATTGCGAAATTGGTCAAAATTGAAGTCGTCCATTTCAAAGGTAAGCTTATGATGACTGAATCTTTGTTATTAAATTTATAGTAGATATATAATTATCGTTTGTCAATATATGTATAGTGATATTTAAAGAGTATATCATCTTGTATTAGGTTTGGCACTAAACGTGATTTTATGGGGAAATTCAATTCAAACTTACAGTACATTTTTGTCATAGACATTTTGCTTACTTTTGTATATTAACTTCTTTCATTTCATCGAGAAATAAACGTGACAGTCTTTACAGGCATGTTGTAGACGTCGAATGTAATTCATTGAATATAGGCGACGTTTACAAAATACCGTAGTGGCACGAAAAAGCACCTGTCCCATACGAAATGTACAACTTTATAATTCAGAAGCTTGAGTGAAGCAAACTTCTAGCTCTCCGTTGCAATAAATCCTCTGAAAATAGCATGAAATGAACTTTTAAATGGTTTTAATTTGTTCGATAAAATTGAGAAGCATTAAATTCAAGGAATCCAATTTCACAAAACAGTCCTTTAAGCCAGTTACTGAATACTGACTTTCAGTTTCATTTGCTCGTGAACTTTGCCATTTTTTTCGATGACAATTATGTGCACTTATTTTAGTTTTTGAAGGGATTTATTGAAGGAGAGATTTCAAAGCCGATTTTACAGATTTTCTTCTATCGTTCTTGTTATAAAAAATATATATTACAGTTCATTTTAAACAAATTGATTTTGCTTGCCGCCATCGTGGATATGCATATCATCGTAAGACAAAATGGCGGACGGCAGAATGTTTTCGTTCTAAATCTCTCAAAAATTATGGTAGTTTGAGAGAGTTTTTAAAATGGATTTGTAAATAATTTTAACATTCTTTCAAATTAGGCAGACATAATTTTTGTTTTCATTTTTTCCACATTTTGACGGTTTTTTCCACATTTTTTGCAGTGTTCAGAAATTCAAGATGGCTGAAACATGGGAAATCATACTGTGGGTCATTGTCGCTGCGGCTATCGTCATCCTAATTTTTGTTGCCATAGGGATATTTCTTGCATGTCGAAAACGAAATCGGCGAAAAAAGAACGTAAAGTATGTATCCGTTTTGTCGTGAACGTTTTGCTCATGCGTGTGCATATATTCCCATACTTTGTATTGGAGTGGAACCATATACCGGATACATCCGATAATATCAATCAATCAAAATTTATTAAGCACCATTAACTAAACCAAATAATTATTTACAAAAGGTAATTCTACAAAACAATGGTGCAAGCTAACTGTAATAACCATATTAAAGGATAGACGAGACAGCTTGTAATTATTGTTAAAATCAATAGTGAGAATAGCTCAGATGGTTAAATGTCTTAAATATAAAATTGAAATCAAATTATCATGCAAATTATCAATGAATATATTTTAAGAATATAATTCCAATAATGAAGAATACCAATTTCACTCATTATATTTCGATAATAATTTTTTTTTAATTTCTTTTTAAATTGCGATGGTTTAAGTTTCTTTGTCTCATAATCAATATCATTCCATAGTTTTGCACCAGAATATCTGATATTAAATTTTCCATAATTGGTGCTTATACGAGGAAGAGAATATGATGATCTTGAAGCGGTATTCGTGTAGTATTCGGGTATTGGCGATATTGACAATTCAAAAATACCGATATACCGACATTACCTACAGGATTGAAACGCTATCTCAAGTCAAACTTGCTTACAATCACGTTTAGAAACCAAAGTTAATACTCACACAGATGGACGATTTTGTTCTTACAGTTCCAGCAGCTTTAGTTTAGCAATACCAAGACGTCTTGTTTATTAAATCGCCTTAATCGGAAATATATAAATGGCGAAATTTTTTAAAAAATTTCAAGGAAAATTTCGATAAAAAAGAACATTCGATTTTGGAAAGTGGAAGCACTAGCATTTGCGAAGCAGCGAAAACCTTTTCAAGTTTTTTGGAAATATTTATCGGGCAGTATAATAATTGCCGGTTAGCATTTTATGATAACTACATGTAAACTAAGATCAAAATGAACAACGATTATGCTAACTAATTATTACTATATGTCTTTGGTTTATTAAGAACCAAGCATCTAAGAGGGGCTAGTTAATGTACACAGCTAATTCAGTTAAAATGCGATCACAAATATGATTTTTTGTATGTGTAACATCTAGGTTATTCGAAGAAGAAATGTAATATATCTTTATAATAAAAAATCCCATCTTGATGAACTTTTTCACTCTCAAAGTTTCTGGATATGATGTCATTAGGTGAATTACAAATTAGTTTTCTTTTGTTTTTCTACCAAAAATTCACCTAATGCCATCATATCCGGGAACTTTGACAGGGAAAAAGTTTATCAAGATGAGGTTTTTTACTATAAATCGACATCACATTTCTTCTTAGAATGACCCAAATATTACAAATACCAAAAACTATATTTGGGGTTAGTCGCACTTTAACGTTACCCTATGAAAGGTCGAAACCACGAAAAGTAGAACTTTTAAGCGCGATAAGTGACATTGGTGTGACATTTTTTTCAATGCTTCTATTTGCTCGAAATATTTCGCAACACACATCTTCCATTCCTCCGTTCTTTACGACTATTTTCTTACCGTTCATTTAGACACCAACGTTTCGAGTGGCAAAGAAAAGATGAGACGGATTATGGAAAACGAAAAGTTCGTTATGACGCGTCTAGTAGCGAGGCAAAAATTATGGATGAAACTGACGGCGGTGAAAAATCATCCCAACTGACCAAGGTCGAATATAATGCGAAAACTGAGGAAGCCAAGATACTTGGTGTAGGCGATAATAAAGGTTTTGTGGAAGAAAAAGTGACCGGAAGTAGTGCTAGAAATAGCAGTGACGAAATCTCAGGCGTTCAAAAATTTAATGACTATCAAATGTCAAGCGAAATTTCAAGGCCAACGACGAGTCACGTGAGCAAGGAATCTAAAAGTTTTTCGGAGACCTATGAATCGAGGGAAACTGAAGTTAAACGTCTGGGCGAGAGCAAAGGTGATTACGTTAGATTAGAAGCCGCACCTGTGCAAAGAGAACGCCTACAGCCGATTGAAGTGGTTCCCAGGGAAACGGCGATGACGTCAACGACGACGTCAAAGAATGTGACGTCACAAGGTGCTGTGAAAAGCTATACAAATCTTGGATACAGTCAAGCTGGTCAGAATGGTGATTTGATATCAAACGTTCAGTTTCAACTACCGGTTGCTGTGATAAGGGCGTTTGTTAATCCTGGACATAATACCAGTTTGAGGTGAGTTACTTTGTATTGTGTTGTTATAATATTATTTTATATTAGTAGCAGTGAATGAAAGCATTGTCTGCCTGTTTTGTTACCCCAATTCAAAGATAATTATTGTATGTTGTCTTTATTTGGACGACTTTCTTAAGTTGGATGATTTTATTCCTGATGAAACGTTTTATGATTGACATACCTACTTACAATGGCACAATCGTTAGAGCATGCGCTTCTCACTTCTATGATCGGGGTTTCGATTCTCGCTGCGGACGTGTGACACTTTTGTGACAAGAGTTAGTCAACGCTCTACCGAAAGTCATGAATTTTCTCCGGGTACTCCGATTCTCTCCCACAGGCAATATCGGTAGGGTAGGTTGGGATTAGCCCCCTAACCTAATTACATGATTAAAATTATTAATAACATTTCTATTGCGCAAATTCACATGTGGATATACGCCTAGACCATTTTATCTTTACAACAGTTGTGATGTTGCTTTCTTAACTGTGTTTATCCTAACCCACCCTGTCAACTCTCCCTGTCGGAAGAAACCGGAGCGCTTGGAGAAAACCCACGACTTTCGGCAGAGCGTTGACTGACTCTTTTCACATGAATCCATAGCGAGATCTCAGAGGTGAAGAGGCGTGCTCTTGACGACACGTCCTAAATGTTACATTAAGATTTGTGCCACTGTCCTTCAATATTTCTTGACTTTAAACAGGCAAGCAAAATCCTTACCAAGAAATTACTCAAAGTTGAACTACAAGAAATCTTTTACGACCTCCACAACACCTAGACGCAGACCTCTCCTCTACACTTGGTCCTTGAAAGCCAACGACTCCGAAACTGCGCAACCTTGGGTGAACCTCCCTGTGATATACAAAGAAACACATCCTTACGGTGACCGTCGAAGGAGCGCAAAACATAGACGCTCAACACAAGCAAGAAGTTTTACGAAACGTAGTTTAATGAAACAAAAGGATAAGAAATGTGGGTCCCTGAACGGAATTTATATCACCGATAGTCGTCCTCGACGATCTTACCAACACAATGCCAAAGGTTCGACATATTACGAGAAATCGGTGGGACCTTATGAAAGCTATTTTGTTCCAAACTCCGATAGAGCTGATGCGGATTACAGCCCTTCAAAACGTCAGGAAATTTCAAAAAGCGATCGCAGAAATTATGGTGATTTTTACGAAGAGCATTACAAAATGGTTAAGAAGTCAGAGTTCCCAGCATTCCGTTCGAGCTCGACCAAATACGAGACGAAGAAATCACGTGATGTTGAGCCCGAGATCTCGTCCATTGTCAGCGGCAGCGAGTTCTCGGATTTCTTACCAACTCCTCCGCGGCCAAGCGAGAGCCAATCAGATGGCTCGGCGGAAGGGTATTCTCGCGGGAGTTATAAAGCGTACAAGAGTAGGTTAGAAAAGAGCAGTAAGAGAAGAAGGGAAGTCGTTTCTGAGGATGCAAGTAGACAAGATCGAGCGAAGCATACAAAGTCATTTCAGGAAACTTTAG